CTCTCTCTCTCTCTCTCTCTCTCTCTCTCTCTCTCTCTCTCTCTCTCTCTCTCTCTCTCTCTCTCTCTCTATATATATATATATATATATATATATGCATGCACATAAATATTTCTGAAGAACACAGAAAATCAGTCAATCCTGGGTGAAGATGCTGCTTCCACTACACTTACACTGTTCACCTTTGAATGTCGACTGCTTTCATTTCTGACACACCAGAGGCCAATCAGCCTGTCTCTGTCCACCCTTGTCTGCTCACGTAAGCCACTTGTTAGAGTCTTTTTACCACCATAAGCTACTCAGAAAACAAGCTCTGCTGTCCTGTGTGTGGATAACCATGCATGAAATCAAGGACAGACAGGCTATGCAGTTCAAACCACACAGCACAGTGCAGACCAAGCCCCCTGTAAATAGCACAGTCTGCTTCTGATAACAGAACGCAGGCTTGCTTCAGGAAAGGAGACGGAGTGTACATGAGGGGTAAGGAGAGCCTGTTCTCAATAAACTGGCATTAATGGAAAAAGCTGGGACAGTTGTCAGCAGCATTTCTTCATGGAGGAAAATACAGCTTCTCTGGATCAAATTAGACCCACATGGAAAGTATTAGAAAAACCCAGAGGATAAATGTAATGTCAAGAAAATAGGAGTGAGAACCAGCGTGTCTACAGCTATGCTTTGTCTGAGACAAAAGCTTGATCATTGATTATTCTCGTAACTGAAAACACACTTTATTATCCCTGAAGCCTAAAGCTTGTGTCTGCTATCATTACTAAAGAACACTGATTAGCCCTCCCACTGGTTAAATAATAAAATAGAATAAAAACTACACAGTGAACGTGAGCTAGAAAGAGAGCCTAATGTAATCTTATTGATGGGGGTTAGAATAAGTAGAATGACATTTAAGCCATTTAAATGCAACTCTGTGCAAGATGCGCTCCGTCATTTATAAGCTTGACTATTTAAAGTAAAGGGCACCTCGAGCGGGCATAGTGGGAGCCAAGAAATTGCTCTAAATTATCTGCCTTTAAGTGATGTCTAACGTGGCCAATGATGTGTATCAGCAGGGCTTTGATAATTGAGCTGTGACGCTAATCTGTAGCTGACATTCCTCCAGGTAACAGCTGCCCACTCCATCCTGGCAACAGATGCAGTGTCAACCCGACAGGGTGCCCAAGGATGCTGTGAGAATATCTCTGTCACCCACGGCCCGATGCGGCTCTTTATGACAATGAACAGAAACAACAAAGCGGCATCCTGTCCAGACGCAGATGAGCACGAATGCACAATCAAAGACAGAATCTGTGGCGACGCCTCTCAAGTGTTTCTGTGCCTCTGGGTGAATGTCTGCGACTTTCAACCAGAGAACGGAAATTAATTTATGTGAACAGGAAAAGAAAACATTAAATTACTGTTCACTGGGTATGTGATGCAGGCAAGAAGCAGAGAAAATGTTTCAGTGCAGTGGCTCGCTCATGAACTTTATGTAAAACTCTTAAAAATGTGGTTTCAAATATATTATTTCTCTTCAGTGTTAAATAAACTACGCTACATAAGAAAAAATCTAAGATCAAGTTGAGAGGAAAAAAAAACGTCCTTAGTGAAGTTTTTAAGGCTAAAATCTCTGCTGCACTTGCAATAAATTGTTTCTTCCTCTATATATTTTTTGTGCACCCTCACTGCTTCTGCAGCTCTGTGTAAGGAGCACAGTAAAAAAATACTTCAATAATAGGTAATCGAACCGAGTAAGGTCAACAGAAGCATGCAAGTAGTTTTCTGTAAACCTACTCTGGGAATGGCTCCAATGAGCAGATCTTAGTTTGCAACAGATCCACATCAAACGTATGCAGTATTACAGCTGAGACCACACGGCTGCTCCGCTGTCCAAGAAATTAGCCGAGCAGAGAGTGTAGGTTTCCCTGGACAATACTGGTTTAAAGCCCCGCACCCTCTCCAGGTGTAGTTTGCTGGGGTGGAACTAATTTGGCTGCTCATAAGAGTTATACAAAATCTAATTAGTCACATGCTTTCTGGCTGTCATTACTGTTTGAAAGGCAAATATGTCATTTGCAATGTGAATACCACACACTGTTAAAGATCCTAATCTCATCAGTGTTGTACAGCCTTATGAATCTTTGCTTCTGACTGAGGAAAATACATCTCACTGACAAGCAGTAGCAGTGTCATCATCAGTGAGAGGGATGAAAACATCTAGTATTTTTATTGTGGCAAAGCAGTTACAGTTAATCTAATAAAAATCTAATAACAACACGTATAATTTTCTGTCTCATGCCTCTTTTATTATAAGAGAGGATTTGTTTATTTCTCAACTTATAGCTTTTGATTTCAGAGCAGGTAGAAGGGTTAGAAATATGTCCCCCTGGTAATTTAGTGTCTTTAGTTGTTGCCTGAGCTTAATTGCTGTTTGTTCAGATCTAATCTATGGATAAAGGCATGCCTGGGGTAGCTTTGCAGACACACACCACTCTTGCTAGACCTCATCATGCTCTTCTACCTGACGTTTTGACACATTGGTGGTAGAATATGAGATTAGAAAAAATAGAAATAACACATATCCGTCTATCAGCACTCCAAAGACACTAACAGCAGCATCTTGTCTGTTCACAGCCTCGAGATTTGAATTCTAATTTTATCTTTTGCAATTTATTTAAAGTCCTCTGTTACAAGAGATTACTTTAAGATGAACATGAGGTGCAATCTGGGATCTTCAGGTAGGTCAGAGATGTCAAACTCATTTTCCATCATGGGCCACATACAGTTCACTTTGATCTTAAGTAGTCTGAGAAGTTTAACGTATAAAGACGTTTAACTACACATTAAATCCTAATTCATATAAGAATAAGAAATGCAGTTTCAACAGTGTATCTCAGTTTTTCTACATGCTAAAAATAAATCCACTTAACGTGTGCAGTGACGAGGAGCTGATTGAGGTTTTAATTCTGATGAGAACTTACTAAATGCTGCACCTGATCTGTTCGGTCGCTCTCCATATTGATCAAACTAGCTAAACCATCTAAAACATCAGCAATTACTTTGCTGTATACCAACATTTTTTGAATAGCAAGCTGGATGAATTTTCTTTTAGTAAAAAAATGTCTTTC